TGAGTAAGTGAGTAAGCTGTTGTGCTGAAGGGACTCTATGTGAACAAGAAAAGGCTAGATTGTGACATTTTTGTTGCTGTAAATGTTGTGCCTCCAAGACAGTCATAAACTAGACTTATTTTTCTCCCCTTCCCCCCAGGTTGGAAGGTTTGAAGTTAACCTCATCAGTCCAGACACCAAATCTGTTGTGCTTGAGAAGAATTTTAAAGATATCTCCTCATGTTCTCAGGTAAGCATTAATAAGAAGCAACATGTAGATCATCAGAAGAAAAGGAATTTATTTGTTCTTCAGCCGGGTTGCCTTGCTGGTCTATAGGCAGCAGAAAAAAAGAAATGTAGAATTCTTTTTCAGCATTCTGTGCTATTTTCCTTTTTTTGGTCTCAAAGGCCATTTTTTAAACAGTTTATCCTATCTAAATTACCATGAATAAAAGTAAATTGCTCTTTTACCCCATTGGCTCCTTAATTAAAAAAAAAAAAGGGGGTGGGGTGGGGGATTTTGAGCGATTGTGACTCATGTATATACAAGTCCTGCATGATGTTTGATACGTGAACTTCTTTGGGGGGTACCGCTGAAGAAACAGGATATTAAACTGCGATTGCTTCATGAACACTTGCAGCAGACTTGAAGTACTGATTTGCCTTTACAAGAGTGATAACTGTTATTGAAATTGGGGCTTTCACTCACCTGGTAGCAGTTTCAAGTAGATACTGCACAAAAATAATGCAATGTCATTCCCAAAGAGCTTAAGTACAGAAACGATGAACACAAAATAACCAGTCTGAGCTGTGGTAGTGGCAACTTTGATCATTGGTCAGAAAACAAAGTATAAACTGTTCTGCTTTGGGGGAGCATTGGATATACTTTCGGAAGTAGCTTAATCTCCATTTAGGATGCTCTGAGTGTGCTGTATTTGAGCAGCTCAGTTCCTGAAAGCCTCTGGAATGAAAGGAGGACAGCATCAGATCAGCCCTCCAGAAAAGCAGTAGTTCACCTGCATCGTTTCTTCTGGAGAATATGGCTGTAGATGAACCTAGCTGTGTCCAGTAATAAATAAAAGTGTCTTACAAAGTTAAATGTCAGGGCTGAGGGATTCACCTTTCTATCTTGCTGTTGTTC